TTTTCCTTAAAGCCTTGACTACTCTAGATTTCACATCTCTACACAAATCTTCTTTAACCACTTAAACATCAATAGCACAGAACTTAATACAGGGAGTGGTTTGTGAATATTTTCTGTATCCCCAAGATTGGTACAAGGTAAATATTATTAAAACACCAAAATACCTGTTTTTAAATGGCAATAAAGAAGTCTCTTTTCAAACATCCACCCATGGACAATATATAGTGTCTATCTCCACCTAATGAAGTACTAACTAGTATAACAGTGCAAATCAATTACAAGGGGTAAAACCACAAACAAATCTAGCAAAAACATGCCATGTTTCTTCAAATCAATGTAAATAAAAAAGATCCTGGCCGGTCTGTTCAGTAGGTTAGTGTGTCCTCCTGATATGCCAAGGTTGTGGGTTCAAACCCCAGTCTGGGCACATACAGGGAATCAACCAATGAATGCATAATAAGTAGGACAACAAATTGATATTTCTCTCTTTCTGTTTCTCCCTCTCCCTCCCTTTGCTCTCTCTCTAAAACAATTTAAAAATAATAATTGTAAAAAAGGAGAGAGAGAAACATCTGTGTGAAGAAAAAAACATCCATTGGTTGCCTTCAGACCCCACTAGGGATTGAACCCTCAACCTGGGTATGTGCCCTGACCGGAATCAGACCCACCATCCTCTGGAGCAGCAGTCGCCAACCTTTTGGACCTCGCACACCACCACTGCTCTGGAATATGGGATGACTCTCCAACCAACTGCACCACACCGGACAGGGCAGTAATTCTTGAAGCTGGGTGGAGTACACAGGCATTTCTATTCTCTCTTCTTTGGTATATGGTTGAAATTTTCCATAGTAAACATTTGTAAAAAGAAAACCTCACTAAAACTGGTTAAGTCCTTAAATATTTTTCTAAGAATTTATTTTCCTACCCTGACCAGTTTGGCTCACTCAGTGAATAGAGCCTGTGGACTGAAGGGTCCTGGAATCGATTCTGGTCAAGGGCACATGCCCGGGTTGCAGGTTTGATCCCCAGTAGGGGGCATGCAGGAGGCGGCCGATCAATGATTCTCTCATCATTGATGTTTCTATCTCTGTCTCCTTCTCCCTTCCTCTCTGAAATCAATAAAAATATATTTTTAAAAAAAGAACTTATTTCCCTTATGATCATGATGAGAAAATGAAGAAAATTAAAGTACATATATCATCTCTTTATTGTACAATTTCACTGGACAAAATTTTTAAAAATCTATTTGATTTGCCGAAACCGGTTTGGCTCAGTGGATTGAGCGTCAGCTTGTGGACTGAAGGGTCCCAGGTTCGATTCCGGTCAGGGGCATGTACCTGGGTTGCGGGCACATCCCCAGTGGGAGATGTGCAGGAGGCAGCTGACCAATGTTCCTCTCTCATTGATGTTTCTAACTCTCTATCTCTCTCCCTTCCTCTCTGTAAAAAATCAATAAAATATATTTTTTAAAAAAAATCTATTTGATTCTTCCCTTATAACAAACTACAGGCCTGGTGCACGAAATTCGTGCACTCAGGGAGGTCCCTAAGCCTGGCCTGTGCCTCTCACAGTCCGGGAGCCCTCGGGGGATGTCAGACTGACAGCTTAGGCCCAGGCATAAGACAGCAGTCAGACATCCTTAGCGCTGCTGCGGAAGGTGGGAGAGGCTCCCACCACCACCATTGTGTTTGCCAGCTAGCTTCTAGCTAAGCAACGCTCCCCTCTGTGGGAGCACACTAACCACTAGGGGGCAGCTCCTATGTTGAGTGTCTGCCCCCTGGTGGTCAGTGCGCATCATAGCGACGACCAGTCATTCTGCCATTCAGTTGATTTGCATATTATCCTTTTATTATATAGGATAGTTGCCATCGTAACTAAAATTTTGATATAAAGGTTTAAAAAATTTATTTTTATAATTCTTAATTTTACTTTTCAATACGAAATCCTAAATAATTCTTTTCTCCCTGTCTACTTATGAGAAGTTGGTCCCCATTTTAAGTGGAATCATCTTTAGTGGTCCTCTTCTTTAGATAGAAGATGACCAGTATATGTACATCAGACCATCCTGGAACTAGCTACATTCTAAGAACTTTGAGGATCCCCAAATTCATGAGTACCACCACAGTACAAATTCTCCATAAAATGGCCCTAACCAGTTTGGCTCAGTGGATAGAGTGTCGGCCTGCCGACTGAAAGGGCCCAGGTTCGATTCCTGTCAAGGGCATGTACCTTGGTTGCAGGCACATCCCCAGTAGGAGGTGTGCAAAAGGCAGCTGATCGATGTTTCTCTCTCATCGATGTTTCTAACTCTCTATCTCTCTCCCTTCCTCTCTGTAAAAAAAATCAATAAAATATATTAAAAAAAAAAAAACAACTCAGTAAAGCATGCCTGACAAGTGTGGCTCAGTGATTGTAGGTCTACCTATTAAAAAAAAATTTATCCATAAAATATCTAAGTGAGTAAGAATAGAAAACAAACAACTTGGCAAATCAACCTAGTGAGACAATTATAAGTTACTTCAGGCACAGACAGGTGTCAGAGACCTTCAAAAGTCACTAAGAGAGAAAAAGAAAAGATAGAAAGCCAAAAGAACTCAGTTAATTCTATCTTTCAAGGGTTTCAGTACTGTCTCCAATAACCTCAAGTCCCTTGTATGTCTTCCATGACATCTCTTTTTTACTAAAAGGCTATGAAGACCCAATGAGACAATAGAGACCAAAGCACTTAATGAACTAAGGTACTGTCTGTTTAAACTTGGAGTTCTGGGGACCAACTATCCTTCAAGATGTTATCCAAGCCCTGGCTGGGTAAGCTCAGTTCGTTAGAGGATTGTCCCCATACGCCAAGGTTGCAGGCTCAATCCCTAGTCATGGCACATACAAGAATCAAGCAAAGAATGCATAAATAAGTAGAACAACAAATTGATGCTTCTCCCTCCTTCTCTCTCTCAAATCAATAAATAAAAAATTTTTAAAGATTTAATCCAGGGTAGGGGTAAGGGGGAGAGATCAACCAAAGGACTTATATGCAAGCATATAGGCCTAACCAATGCACACGGACAACAGGGGTGGTGAGGGCATGGGGGGAGGGGAAGGGGGAAACGTGGGGATAAGGACACATATGGGGTAATGTATAAGGACACATATGTAATAACTTAATCAATTAAAAAAAGACTTAATCTAGTACCTACAATGTACAGAGTAGTTTATATAGACAGTATATGTACACTGGCAGGAATTAGAAGATATCAACCCAATTAAACATAAAAGCACCAGGTCAGAATTATTAACTAAAATGACAATCAGTTCACATTACTATATGCAAAGAAAATAACTGAAGAGCAAGCACATAAAGATAAGCTGAAGAGGTTGCTCGTTTATCAGAGGAGCCAAACAGTCTGCTTACAGCTAGCTATACAAAACAACAGACAATATGATCTTGAATTATGTGTCTTTATCTAATTCCAGACATGGGGTTTACAATCCTAATAACTACTCTTACTTTCGCCAAGAGAATCTCATTCTATCACAATACTACAGACAGAATAAAAGACAAACATTTGCTAAGGATTTTCTAAAATTTCCAGCCCTGAGCACAGGACCTAATACAGAGTAAATACTGGCTCCAATATTTTCAATTGTTTTTAACAGAACCAATACTCCACTGGTATCTCTTTGATGAGAACCAACAATGAGATTTCTACTTCTATTTGTATGCTTCTAGAGAAACATCTATCTCCACCATTAGTTCTAGGTTTTTTATGTAAATACAAAAGCCAAACTATAGAAAGTAGTAGTAAGAATACAAAAAAAAACTATATTACTTGTACTCACTGTAAAACTACTTTTGCCCCACACTGTATGTGTGTGTGTGTGTGTACGTGTGTATACACATACACATATACATAATATATATAAATGTCTATGTGAACTCAAGAAAAAAAACGATTTTGTCTGAGCTGCCAACAGGTTGCCAACATAGCTTATCGACTCTAAAAATTATCTAGTACAATACAGACTCAAGATAACTACCAAAACAAAATTATTAAATCTATAAGTACCAAGCTAAGAAAACAAGAAACACCAAAGCATATTTAAGATATATATGAATCAATAGAAACAAAAGTGACACACCCACATCTCCTTTTGTAACTTTAAAGAACAGCAGGGCTGCCCTGGCCAGTTTGGCGCAGTGGATAGAGCGTCAGCCTGCGGACTGAAGGGTCCCGGGTTCTATTCCGGCCAAAGGCACATGCCCGGGCTGCGGGCTTGGTCCCCAGTGGGGGCCCTGCAGAAGGCAGCCAATCAATGACTCTCTCATCATTGATGTTTCTATCTCTTCCTCCCTCTCCCTTCCTCTCTTAAATCAATAAATAAATATATTAAAAAAAAGAACACCAGGGCTACATGGTATAGTATAGTGAATTACTTAATGCACTCAACACAATCATCACATACCATAAATTTCCAGTTAAATCTTGACATAGTATTTCAGAGACATTTGTTAGGGGGAAAATTGGACTGAGGTCCAAAAAGTTCAACTCAGTTACTTTCAATTTGTGCACAAAATGCACTTCAACACTCAGCAAGAGTCGCCCCGTCAACTAAGAAAATAAGCCGTGCCCTACGTGAAAACAGGACAGCAGGTAATTAATTGATTCTCCTATAACTCATACCAGCAAGCCAAAAAACAACACAAAAAAAGTTAAACAAATGTATACCTCCACCTTGAAAAATTAGATCTGAACTAAATCAAATGCCTTTAAAAGTTTAACTTAGTCCTCAAAGGAGAGTTAATTGGGAAAATCTAGAAAGAACCAAACTCATACAATAGAGATAAATTTAAAAATCAAAGTAATGTTTCCCCAAAAAGTTTATCAATAGCAACAGGCTTTAAGCTGTGAAATAAGCAACCAAAAACCAATTACTTATGTTTCCATTTAAGTTGCCTGTATATATACATTAATGTATATATTTAAGTTGTACCAAAAACTGCTTACAAATGGTAATTCCTGGGAAGTAGATGATGATGAAGTTCCAGGTAATTCTAGCATGTTTCCTAATGTACTGGTACTGGAGTCTGGATCATCCTGAAAAGATAAATTTACTGAGTTTAATTGCTCTTCTATGGTAACGTTTGTATCTCCTAGTGAAAAGGGGGCTGGGAGAAGGGCTGCTTTTTCATTGCTGCCGTCCACTTCATTTCTTTGCTTATTTTTCTGTGTTTCAGTTTGAGGAGCTAATGGCAAGAATGGCGATTTGACTGCACCATGTCTACTCTCTGTTGTGCTGTCTTGTTCATCTCCCATGGCCACGTCTACACCATTCTCTGATTTAGGCTCATAATTGCAGGTGGCATTGGTCTGAGTTTCCTCAAAGATCTCCTCTATACTCTCATCCTCTGTGACTGGCTGTTCTGGGTCCATTTCAGAATCTACATCTGCATCGTCCACACAAGTAAAATTCTCAAAGTGCAGAAAGCCATTCTTGACAGTCTTTGTTACTTTTACCTGGAGTTCAGGGGAGTTATTACAAGAGGGTTCCTGTTTCATAGCAAGTGCTGTTGGACCACCAGGACTCAAGGAAGTGCAAACAATTGGCGACTGAGCTCTTGAATCACTTTTTTCAGGGTCTTGAAAGGATTCTGATCCATCAGCAGACCCATTTAAATACTCTACATTGATCATGGAGGCCAAATCCTGTAGTTTCCGCAGTGGAATGTAACAAGATGGAGAATCTTGTCCATAAGCATTTTGGGATGTTCCACTGGCAGTCGATAACTGCATAGTACACTCATTAAGTGGCTCAGAAAAAGTGGATTGACCATTACCGAAAGGGCTGTCCTTGTCTTCAGGGGCATCTAAATTGACTGGATTGGAAAAAGGCAGCAGACAATTTCTTCTGGGTAGTTCAGAGGTCTGATCCATCCTGCGCCAACATCAACCTGGAACCCAGAAACACAGCAATTAATCTGAGTTAACAAGTCATAGGACTTATCTTCAAAATGGCAGCCACTTCTCAAGGCCTAGTGGCCTCGATGTCTTTCTGCTGCACTTCCAAGGGCAGAAAAGTTCCCCAGCTGATGATAGAAAAATGGCCTCGGTGAGCCTCCACAAACTCCGTCTTCCCGGAGCTGGGCAGATCTTGCCACATGGAAACAACCCGTCCCTTTTTCCTGCACTGCAGACTGGCGGACAGTAGGGCTGAACTAAAATCCAAATCCATTTGGCAGTACAAATTCCCAAAATCTCAAAATAGGAATCCTCATCTCCCTCCCTCGCTGAGGACCTAGCGGCCGATCTCCGGAAGGGAGAAGGATAGGAGGTTCGAGAGCGGGGTCCCAGATGCTGCACAAAAAGGTCCCCCTCCCCACCCCCTTCCTGGCTCCCTCTGCTCAGCGGTCACAATAGCGCTGCACCCTGCGCCCAGCCGGCGCCAGAGCCTTTTTGCTACGGCCGTCCCCAGGCCGCAGGCCAGCCGGCCCAAGCCGGTTGGTGCACCCCGAAGCTC